ATTGTTTCTATTGAGGAAATAATTTCCAGGGATGATCAAATGGGCTTGCTGTGAAATTTGATGATCAGAAGTTTAGGACGTCTAGTGTTTATGGAATGCCAATGGAAGTCTTGTACACAAGAATTCTCAGAATCAAATTCTACATGATATTAGAAGTCTTTGCAAATTCACTCAATCAGATGTGACCCCTTTATGATTTATGTACCCAACTCAGAAAGGGAAATGTATTTGGAATATTTGTACTTAGTCTACCATGTACAAAAACATATTCATTAATTGCCGTTCAAATCAGAACTAGATTAAAAGGTGATATTGATGGAAAAATACTTTATGTATATAATGAATAATTCATTGTTATTGCTTTTTCTCTTTCTAATAAAATGGCTTATGGTCCTGGCCTTCAAAATTTGCCCATGAACAAACACCCAAAAGTTGGGTGATATAAGTTAAAACTCTTTGCTTTTGTAGTTTCGGAACACTGTATTTTGCTTGTAGACTTCTACATAGAAGGTGTTTTTACTAGAAATTAACTTACACATTAATAACTGTTTTAAGTTGAAAATGAAAGGTTTTGTTTAAAAATAACTTAGCATTTAATAATTTTAAATACCTGTCAAAACATCTTAATAGAATTATTGAAAACAATAATTAAAAACACAGAAAAATTTCCATTCATTTCTCCTAATCTCTTTCCTCCCAGACAGCAGTGACAAATCAACCATTTAATACCATGAAAAAAGGCCATGAAAACAAAGTGCAGCACACATTTGTTGGATTATTTTTAGCGAATAAACAGTGGATCTTTGAGCTCTAGAGCCTGCCATTGTTTATTTTTTACTGAACTCATTTCATTCAGATAAAATATCTACATTTTTTTTGCAAACATTTAATCTCAAACAAACATAACTTAGCTGAATTGAAATGATGTAGGAAATATTGTTGCCTTTGATCAGCCATTCGTCTGTATTCCTGAAAGCAGCTTGCAGAACAAGGTAATTTTATTGAAATATATTTGGATAATGTAATGGGTTTAGGCATGTTTTTTTTGTGTGTGGTTTTGTTTATTTTTGTGGTTTTTTGTTTTGGTTTGGTTTTTTGTGTGTGTTTTTTTTGTGTGTGTTTTCTTTTTTTATGTTTAAAACATAAAAACCATCCACAAAAAACCCCCACCAAAAACAAGGCTTTAAAATGGTACTGTTGGTTAGACTTATAAATGAAGATTACTCCAGTTTTATGAAGTATTAATCTCTGTGCTAAATAAATCTCCTGGACCTAGAGATTACTGGATAGGATTAGAGATCAAATGTTAGCACTGTATTCATGTGTTAGTCTCTACAAAATAATCTTGGGTGTATGCCTCATAAACTGTGTTGTGCTAAAATGTGTAAATAGAAACTTGGCTTCTTGGTTATTACACTGAGTTGAGTAAAATTTGTCTGTTAAAGTGCACTCTCATTTTTATTGTGACAGCTATAGACCTCACCAAGGGATCAGCCTCATTATGACAGAAATTGCCAATTATTATCTACAAATGATGCTAAGAAGTGTAATTTGACAAGGAAATGCAAGGGCATAAAGCAGAAAACAGGAAAAGGTCACAGACAGGGTGACTAGTATGAATATGTTTGTAAAAATGAGAAGCCTGTGTGCATCTTTCTCCTTTTGTGTACTTATTTTTTAATAGTCAATGGGATGCAATGAAAGTGCAGGGCCCAGTTTACATAGAAGCTGCTTGCAAAAGCACACAGCATCTGCACAAGCCTTGTAAGAGCTGAGACTAGTTAGCAGCCTTCTCCTTTGAAGGCTGATGTATTGTCAAAACCATTAAAATTTGCTGTTAGACCAATGAGTGGACAACCTTGAATAATCCTTTAAGCTTGTTACCATTATATGATAATGTGTTTCATGTTAAATTCTAACATAATTTTGTGCCTAGCAAAATCCTGTATCTACAGAATTCTTAACAAATATGTATTTTTGCATTGTGTTTATATGTGAAGGGAGGAGGAGTCAACTAGCAGACATTGGTGTTCAATTTCCAGACAAGAAATGTTCCTTTTCTTCTTATGTGAACCAAGAGATTCAGCTAGAGCCTGGAACTTCACATCTTATTTTCCTTGTAAATTATTGCTGGTTTAAACCATTGGTTATGGTTTATTTATAGAATAATACATAGTTCACAACTAAATGCCAAGCTGTAATTGAATCAAAGGATTCTGCTGATGCTTTGACTCACAAGGGTGCAGCTCAAGAGCTTTCTAAAGGACAGCAGAATCTGAGTTTAAATTACAGCCTCCTGTATGCAGTCTGGAATCACGCATTATAGTGTGTATTAGGGGTAAAAGGATTATTATAATACTGCAGTAAACAAAGAAAATGTATCAAACAGCAGAATTCAGAATGCTTGCAGAGACTTTTGGTTTATGATGTGGGAGGCTAGAGTTTTTACTGCATGAGAAATAAGGCTGGAGGAAGAGTATTTCATAAAAGCATTTAAGTTCTTAAAAAATATTCTGAAGCTATTCTTAAATACAAGGAAAAAATATTTTTGTAGATTAATCTACAGTAAATTCAAAGTGTTCTGCTACATGGCTATACCTAGTTGATTCCAGATGACACTATTTTCTGGCATATTAGAGAAATAATTATGCTATAGAAGAAAAATCGTAATTTACATATCTTTGATGATATTTGAGTAAGCTGTTTCCTCACATCAGAATGTAAATTAGTCCAGCAATTCCCTAATGTGGCCAGGGTAACTTTGCACAAACGTTGGTGCTGTGGAAGCTCATCATATGCCTTCCAAAGTGTTTCTGCATTTTCCTCAAATCATTTTCAGTGTAAGAGATAAAACGGTATACTATAAAGGCATTGGTCAGGCTTCAGGATGACATTTTTCCATGGATTAAGGGTACAGATCTTTACAGATCTTACTGGAATTGCAAGTATGCAAGAGATAAATAGACACTTTGAACTTTTGTCAAATGTATGTTTACAGAACAGCTGCTTGGGAAGTAGTGGCAAAAGGTTGGTAACTTGTTTTTTGATAACTAGCCATCAAACATTTACATTGGAAATAACATATGTGCCACACAGAGGAATATATTGATTTTTTAATATGCCAAGTCTGCTTAACACTGGCATTTTTTTCCCTACAAAGCATTTAATACTGAATAAAATTCCCATTCTGTTTAATATTATTATAATATAGTCATTATAAATTTTCTGGGTTTCCCATTGTCAAAGTCCAACTGAGGGTCATAGGACATTATTTCCAAAACTATATTTTCTCTAAGTTGTATTAAATACTTAAGAAAAATTAGAAGTCATGCAATAAACTCACAGTGTTGATATAGACAAAAATGCCTGACGAATCCATAGATTAAATATTTGTACAGAGCACTACAGAGAGGCACAATACTGAACCAAGACATTATAGATATAAACATTGCTTCAGGGATCATGGGGTATTGAGGAGAGGTAAGTCTTTCTTTTGGCTTTTTTTGCCCTTCTTTTTCATTTTCATTTGAGTATCATATGTTCTGTCTGGCAGTATCATGATGAGAAAGAACAAAGAAATACATTATAAGTGAAAAAGTTATGTTAATAAATGTAGGAAGCATACTAGATTTAGCCTGATAGGGATTTATGGAGGGAAATCAGGAAAGGTTACAGGAAATTCTAGCCCTTGCAATAAAAATACCTGCAAAAAAGCATAAAGATGAGGGAGAATTATATTTACTATTAAAAGAAGTTTAGATTGTCCCTACTGGTATCTTGGCAAGCTTAGGAAACACTAACACAGACATCATATTTAGAAAGGTGGTAAGTAAAGATGAGAGATTATGGGAAGAGCTGGTTTTTGAAGAAACTCAGAAATAAGATGGGACCTGTGGCATATAAATATTTGAGGCTCCGGATTAAGAAAATATCATGCTTTAACTATGCAGGACAGATAGTTGTATCAACTTTGATGAAGTATATTCGCTGAAAATGTTCTTTTCTGCATTGTAATGCAAAGAGTGTGCATCGCAGGAAGAATTATCTGTCACAGATGTGAATGCTGGTTTTGTTTATTGTCGCTCATTTGGATAGTTTGTAAGGTACCTGGGAACTTTTGGTAAAACTACAAAAAGTAAACATAAATGGCAAAAAAAAATATGGTAAGAGCTACATTCCTCATTAGATATTTACAGTAAAGAACGGGTTTTCTAAAAATGCTGTAACCTGGCAAGTCCCATTGAGAACAATTTGAAAATCTAACAATTTCTCCAAAGTGTCTAGTAGAAATCTGAGAGCCTTTGGTACCCCTGCACAAGTTTTTTTTTAAATGCTATAACATTAAGGATTGAAGATGGAAGGACTTTCATGCCAGTAATTTTTCATGTTTCTGCAATACACAGACCAAACCAATGAGCAAACTTTAAACCATTTTCATGACTTCACACCATACCAAAATATTTTTGTGTCAAGCTCATCACCGAAACAAGACACTGATGAAAGAGCATAGTGGACATATCATTGAAGCATTCTGTCCTTCTTACAGAGATAGTAACAGTTCAAGGAAGTAAACCACACACAGAGTAAATCCACTAAACCTCTTCATCATGATTTTATGAAGTATTAAACCAAATTAATCCGAATTTCTCTCTTCCTTAGTTTGTCAGCTTCATCCAAAGTAATTTTTTACCACTATCAAGCTGTCTCTGTCTCACAGATATGCTGAAGGACTAGGTAGCTTTTTCCTTGACTCTTAAAGATAATTCTCATCTACAGTCATTTAACTAATAAATTTTCCACTGTGAAAGCAACTTGGTGATTCAAATATTTGCAACAAGCAAATAAGTATAAATAATTGAGCAAGCTAAACCAAAATTACTTTAACATAGGCAAATGCAGAACACTTCTTGTGATGTTTATCTTGCTGCTGAGTAAACTATTCTCATATTTGGATAACTCTGGGCAGAGCTGTAGAGCATTTTGCTACCAGCTGAACTTACTTCCCCTTCTGTGGACTGTAAGTGCAGTTCTTTCCTACAGGTAGCCTTTAAGTCTCCTGCAGCTGCATTGACCTGCACTCCCCTGGGTGCTTCCATCACCAAAGATCTAGTAGGAGATTCAAGTCTGAAAGACAAAAACAAGCACTGAGAAAATTCACACTGAATTCCAACCACCCAGCCCCAAAGTCCTCAATACATGCAGATATCACAGTATCACAAAAAGGTAGGGGTTGGATGTAATCTTTGGAGTCCAACCCCCCTGACAAAGTAGGTTGCACAGGTTCACATCCAGGTGGGTTTTGTAGATTACTGGTCACTGGGCACCACTGGAAGAATCTGGTCCAATCTTCTTGACACCCACCCTTTAAAAGATATTTATAAGCATTGGTAAGATCCCCTCTGAGTCTTCTCAGACTCAGGTCTCACATCTAAGAGAGACACTCCAATCCCCAATCATCTTTGTAGCTCTCCTCTAGACTCTCTCCAACAGCTCTTTGTCTTTCCAGGGCAGAGTAGAGGGAAAGGATAACTGCCCTTGACTTGATGCCCACACTCTTCTTAATGGACCTTGGGATACCATTGTCCTTCTTGGCCACAAAGGCACATTGCTGACTCGTGGCTAACTTGCTGCCCACTAGGACTCCCAGATCCTTCTCCCCTGAACTGCCTTCCATCAGGTCAATGTCTAACCTGAACTTGTGCATGGGGTTATTCCTCCCTAGATGCAGAACCCTACACTTGCCTTTGTTGAACTTCATTAGGTTCCTCTCCAGCCTATCACTGAATGGCAGCACTGCCTTCTGGTGCATGAGGCACTCCTCCCAGATTTGTATTATCAGCAAACTTGCTTAGAGTACATAACAGTACCTTCATCAAGGTCAATGATTATTATGTTGAACAAGACTGGACCCAGTACTGACCCCTGGGGAATATCACTAGCTACAGGCTTCCAACTGTATACTTTGTGCCACTGATCACAACCCACTGGTGGTGGTTCTCAATCCACCTCACTGTCCACTCATTTAACTGACACTCTCTAAGCTTACCTACGAGGAAGTTATGGGAGACAGTGTCAAAAGCCTTGCTGAAGTCAAGGTAGACAACATCCACTGCTCTCCCCTCATCTACCAGTCAGTCATTCCATCACAGAAGGGTATCATATTGGTCATGCATGATTTCCCCTCGGTGAATCCATGTTGACTACTGATTACCTTATTTTCCTCCATACATTTAAATATATTTGGAAAGGTTAAGAAGTAAAAATCAGTTGTATGTATGATTCTCTCACTACTCTTTATGGCCTGGAGAAAGAAAAAATAAATAAATATGTATTTTAATCTATTCCTATTTAAGACAGCATTTAAACATGTACTGATAGAAGCGTGTCTGCTTAGTGATGCTTTCCAGCATTAGTACCTAATATACTAGATTGTACTAATGCTGAAATACAGGTACGTAAGAATCCACATGTCTCTGTGAGTGCTTTTGTAATGACAGGTTAATAACTAAAGTCTGTTTAGTGACCAGTGACAAATGTTCAATTAAGTAAAAAAAAAAAACCCCAAACAAACAACAAACCCAAACACATTAAAAGTTTTAAATAATGATGTAAATCTCATTAGAATGACTTTGCCTTCACAGGCTCATTCATATTTCAGGTAGGAGTAGCAGCATTGTGTATGAAAAACAGAGGAAAAGAAAATCTGTTATGTCTTTATTACTGGAGTTTGTCTTCATGCTTTTTTGGTTCTGCAAAATACTCATTATGCTCTACAGCCCTGTCATAATAGGGTTAAGATGCTTATCACTGGGTCTTTGTCCTCCAAGCAACAGTTGTTCTTCTACTGTCAGTCTTTCAATTTGTCTCTGCCTTATACTCAAGATCCTCCATCAACTTTAATGCAGAGCTATGATACTTTTATAGCTACGTTATCTCACCATTTTGTACAGGTTTCTCTTGAAAGGGAACTACTAATGCAAGGATTTTGTAGAAGTCGTGCTCACACTCTCAATAGCAAAGATGATTTGATGAAAATTATATTGAATTAGGAAAGAAAAATTTGGATTCTGGTTGTGTTCAGCTGTAGACTTATTGCATAGCGAGGGAAATGTCTATTAATCTATTTATATCCTAGCTATATAATACATTTCCACTTTACCTGAACAAGGGATTTTTAAAAAAATGAAATACATTAATGATAGAAACGTACAGAATGAGTAGCTTGAAGAAAAGATTGTATTTCCCTCCTCAACAGATTTTGAGTGTTAGGTCACATCCATCCAAAACTGTAATACAGTATGAGATCTATAAAGGAAACAATAGTTTGACAAAGAATTTGCTACAGAAAAGCTGAAGGAAAGATCTGCCAAGCAATGGAACAAGAGAATTTCAGTGTGTTTCAACTACTGAATTTTCAAAGTGTATAGAATAGTGATAGATTATCTTTATGAAATAAAAATGCCACATTTGCATGTGATCTCACTGAGATTGTGTCTGTGAAATATTTCTGTTTGTTATATCTCATGGACACTCAATATGGGAAAAAATAAAACAAACCCAGAAGCAAACAACCAAACAAAAAACTCCCAAACAAACAGGAAAGCAAGTATTTGGCAACACAAAATGAAACTATTAAAAGCAGATATCCAAGTAGAGGAAAATACTGTTGTAGCTATGTATATATATATATAAAACCCCAAAGGTTACATGCTTATGCATGTAGATAGGAGCAGTAGAAAAATCTGTATTTCTATCAGTGCTAAGTAATTTTCTTTCATTTTTGACACTCTGAAGGGAGAAGCTGATCGAAGGTCTGCAGTTCTTTATACCAGAGAAGAATCTAAATACCATTAAATATTTAATCGTGTACATCAGTGTTTTTCAGGTGATGGCTTGTGAACTACTGATGGCTTTAATACAGCAGCAAAAGAGCTTTCAAAACCTTTTAGAAACCATATAAAGTTTGGAAATTAGGCTTTTGAAAGTACTCTGTTGCCTTAATGAGATTTTACCTTGAATTTAAAAGGAAACTGAATTGTATAAATGTTAAATGACTGGATGCTTCCATTCCATATTTTTCAGCAGCATATATTTCTGATTTATAACCTACCTTCCTGGAATATAAACATTTCTCAGTGGTTTCAGCTGCCATTTCGTAATAATGAAGACAAAAGTGCGCTTAACTACTTTTATTGCATTGAATTGGTGGATATTGGCAAAGTCAGAAATATTTCTGGCTTCATACATCAAAACCACTCTCAGACCTGACCAAAATTTTTCAGCAGGTATTTAGCAATATTTTTTGAGAATATTTAGGAGCATTTTCAAGAAACTGTGATTTTGTTTGAGGAATCTCAAACTTTTTTCTTTTTTTTTTTTCTGTAAATACGACAGCACATAGCTCAGAGCTGTTTTGTCTAGTTTCACTGCTGGTTTTCATTAACTAAATTAACATAACTTCCAGTTTGTCTGAAATGAAGATACTTGGGCTACTAACTTCTGAATTTCAGGAGCTGTTAATATCAGTATTCTACACATTGTGGAGTAGAAATTTCTTTTTCAGACAATAGATTTTTTAGCAATTTTCTGATATCAAATAATGTGGTAGAAAAGTCAATTAATGGATAATGATAAGCACCCATCTGTAAATAAAACTGAATGCCTAAATCAGTTTTGTAGTTACTATTTTACTTATTCTTCTTTGGATGATCTACATCTGAAAAGTGACTTGTGCAATCTGCAGCATGCTACTGGAAATGTAGCAGCCTATACAAACAGATTATTTACTCCATGTTTTGATATAAATTATGTTTGATATGCAGCATCTTTATGATACATTTTTCTTTGTCATATTTCTGAAAACTTTAATCTCTCCTATGAACATACTGTAACACTCCACACTGAAATATTCATCTTGCCAAAGCAAAGTGCATTATTACACTAGCATATCAGGAATTTACTTTCCTTTCAGACTACCTATGGCTTGTCACATTGACGTTTACATTTTAGTATTTCTTTTCTCATCAACAAACAGCTATGATGGCGAAGGTAACTGCTGCTATTATTAGACAGAAAGTACAACACTGTAGGCAAGATAAAGAGGCTTTTAAAAAGAGGTTGATAAATAATATAATCTGTAGATTTGCTACATATGATGCAGACAGATGATCTAAAGAGAGCAGGGAAGGGCTTCTTTCTTTTTAATTATCAGTGGTTAATTTGTGAAAAAAGATACGTTTCAGAGGATCAAAGCTACATGAATTTGAATTGAATTCATTAAAGAATTATTGCTAAAAAAATAAACTTTTCAAATATCTGGGATAAGTTCCTTTGAACGTATTAAAATATTTCTCATCAGAAGTGCAGGAACATTTCGCTTTCATTTGGTATATTCTGTTTACAAGCTGACCCAGATTTTACTAGAGAAAAATATTTTTTAAAATTAACAAAAAGGTTTCATTTAGATTTTAATAAATATTTGAGATTTACCTCTTGAATATCCCTCATACTCACATGGGATATTATTTACCTATGTTAATTTTGCTCTGTAGTCTAGCAGAGGTATATCTTAAAATAGAAGAAAATAGAAGATTCTCCTGTGTAGATGTAAATAATTTATTTTCTTCCTGTCTATTTAAGCAGTGGATTCAACCCATGCTGCTTCGTAAAATGACTGATATGAACGTCTACCCATTTGGAATTTGTACTCAAAGCAGGGGATATAAAAATATGCTGTAGAGATCTCACATATACAGCAGGTAGTCGTTTCTTCCTTACTGGCATCTTTACACCTGGGGGTCAAGAAATACTTCAGTACTTCCAAGTATTTAACTTCTATATATGACAGTCTTGCCAACACACACTGTTGTGGCTTTTTTCAGTTTGCATAGGAATCCTGTTATTTAAAAAAGCTTGTCAAATACAAAACCCATGGAAAATCTACACATTGAGTTGGTAACCTTTTTTTAGATTAAAATAATTGTGACATCGACCTTGTTGCCTGCAGATAAAGTGTGTGGCAGAGTGGGGCTGCAGGGAGGTAAGATACCCAAAGAGGAGGAGGGAAGGCAAAAGGATGTGCAAAGTCTATCACTATCCCTCTTCCTGCTCCTTCATTGCAAACA